GGTCCCCGCCGCCCGGGCCTGCGGCTGCCACGGGCGCCGCCTCCGGGCGAGCACGAACGGAAGGTTCCCCGGGCGGCGGTGCGAGGGCTGGGGGTGCTGGGGGATCCCACAGCGCCCGGGCGGGCGAGGGGAGAAGGAATCTCACTCCGAAGAGCCCCCCGTCTTCTGCAACATGACAAGTTACGATGTCCTGTCACGTCGACAGATGATACCCGAGATAACTTTAAATGACTAGAAAGCTACAAAGTTTTTTTTCCCTTTGTCTCGTTTTCGTGTGCTGTGGGTTTTTTTTTAAAGGCAGGTTGCTGCTAGCTACGTGCAATGCACGTGGAAAGCCACCGGTTTCGCTTTGTAGCCCAGCGAAGTGCAAACTTGTGCTAGTCCGAAGGAGCAACAGCCCTGGAGATGTTTTCAATTTGCAGCAAGTTTAAAAATACATAATTGTAAATTACCAACTGTACCAAAACCTATAGACCCGTCAAGTAGAAGTTTACAGGCTCAAACCTTAAATGAATTGACAGTGTTTCTTTCTCTGAAGTGTGAGTTGCACAGCATTTACCCAGGTCACTGGCACACACACACAGGCTATTCATTGCAAAACTCACCCAAAAGTAGCAGGAGGCCAGGAACTGAGTGAGTATTCACCACACATCGGTCTGTCCAGGAGGGAAACCATCCTGCTTGATGGTTCCTGAACACTGTGAAGCATGTGAGACCTCGAGATGAAAGGTCCCTTCACCATCCCTGTCCTCAGCATCAGCAGGGTCACAGGGCTGTCCCCTGCAAGAGCTGCCAGGGCTGTACCTGTGGATCTAAACACCAGATCTAGTGCTAGATCCACGTACTCCATGGAATGCATAACAGCTGTACCTGCTTTGACTGAACATTATTAAACACACGCAAAGCAGTAATTTTCCAACCCTGCAGGGTGACATTTAACTTCATGCTAGCTGGAAGGCTAACAGAAATCCAAACACGGAGTACAGTGCTGTCATTCACACAGGGACACAAAATGAGACTTTGTGTGCTATTTTGATACGTTTTCTATCTCTGATGTTTCTTACTACTTCACATTTTGTTAAATCTGCATGTGTTTACTGAAACATGGCCCAGGTAGAGATTTCTAAAATAGAGTGAAACAGCTTAGATCAATTCATATTAATTACTCATTGTATGTTTGTGAGAATTGGTATTTACAAGGACAGCTATCTAATCTTCTTATGGGTCCGAAACAGGTAACAAGTGTGGATGATGCAACACAGCCAGCTAATCCTCAAACACTCAGATGGGGAATGAAACGGGGAACATGGGATATCAGAAGTCAGGACACCCTCAGGAAACACTCTGCACATCAGGTATTCTTACCAGTCAACAAATGTAAAATATCTGGAACAAATATGAACACATGGAGATCCTAAGCAGATGTTATTGATCACACCATAACTACATACTGCTCAAGTAGTTTTCAAGTTTCTCGTCTTGTAAATTGTGTAGAGTAGCTCAATTTAGAATCAGTTCCTATTTAGATTCCTGCTTTCAGTAGTAATTGTATAACCCTTAGATTCCAAAGCTAGATAATGCTTCTACTGTAAGTTTTCTCAGCATTTCATAGACAAGCCACTCTGACATTCCTAGGAAATGTGATGTCACACACCCAGCACAGAGACACTGAAGCGTGTATGTATGTTTATGTAACTCATACAAGAATGCAAAGGAACTGTACGGACATTACTAAAAAGTAGCGTCCCATCATTTACTGCTATAGTATCTACCCTAGGGATAAAATTCGTAATGAGAGTTACCGAGCAGTTACTTTGATGCACAGCACTTTCTGCAGTCTCCAGATGACCTTTTCTGTGATTTTGCCCACAGCTAGTTTCTGAGCCCATGGCAGGACAACCGCAGTAACCAGTCACTTTGGAAACAAAATAAACACAATCCTTGGGGACTTCGCATACTCTGGGAAGCCTACACTTCTATTCCCAAAAGCTTCTCCAAACCTGCCCTTCGCTCTATACTCAAAGTCAACCAGCATTGCTTGCTAATTAACGGGAGCTGTTCTGAACTGAAAAAGAACTACTTGTATTAATTAAGAGAGGCTGGTACCCGTGTTTAAAATTCCACTGCCTGCTGCACTCCAACATACAGTGCAAGACTGTACTGATCCTTAGGTGCGCCAGCTTCTTATTTTTATACCAACCTCCAAACCATTTTCTACCGTTTAATTCTACCGAGCCGTGACGTCCAAGGAACATACCCTTTGATACCTACAAACGAGCCCGAAGTACCTCCAGGAGGAGCGTCTCACGGAACTGGTGTTCGCAGGCGGAGCCGGGAGCGTCCTCCTCCCTGGGACCGGGGGAGTGGGAACAGCAGCCTCTAGCAAGCAGCCCTTGCATCGCCCCTAAAACCCTCTCAGAGCTACTTATCCCTTTCCCGCTTCACCTTCTGTCCAGACCCGAGGTTCAGCCGCACTCAGTACCCCGAGTTACACTGCCCGAGCACCTCAGACACCGGCAACGCTTCGCACCAACGCAGTAACACATCACATAACGTATGTAACAGCTTTCTGCTAAGCTCGCAGGGGCCTCCCCTCCGGTTTTGGGGCTCGGCTCAGACTCCGCCAACCCCACAACCCGCAGAGCAGGACGGGGGGGGATCCCCCGCGACCCTCACACGTCGGAGGGGCCGGGACGACACGTCCCTCCCCGCTCCCAGATCCCGCCTCCAACGCCCGTCTCCTCACGCCGACCCACAACCCCTCAAGCACGGCGGCCCACGCGCTGCCTGACCCCCTCCCCGCCGCCAGGGGAACGAAGGAGCCGGGGAGGGGGTGGTGGTCGGCACGGCAGGGAACGGGCACGGCAGGGAATGGGCACGGCAGGGAATGGGCACGGCAGGG